AAAATACAACGTGCTACACTGCACTGCTGGAATGCTGTTCCATTCAGGCTTAATGGACTGATGCTATTAATAAAGCGTTGTCTGTCATATGCTGAGTGTCAGTTTTAAATTATTTTGAAAAATGTCATCTGTATGTATTAATTCAGATAAATCTGTCTCCATCTCAGTCAATCAAACCCGACCCTGGCACCAATCTAGTATTAGATGGACTGCACAGCTGTCTACACATGTCAGAGGTGAAGACAGTACATCGATACTTGACTGTTCTCATTTCGGAGAAGGGAGGATATGTGCTATTTGGATTTTCATGTTTTTTTTTTCTTTAATCTGTTTTGTTCAGAGGTGAAATATATATCTATTGTAAGCGATGTGATGGCCATGTGTTAGTGTCCACCTGAAGAACATGTAGTATGGCGCGCTTGACTTAATTTTGCCTTTGTTTTCTTCTAATGTCAGATATCTGTTTGTTCAGCTTAATTGGTTTGTAGAGGTTGAACTCAAAAAGTGCATTAAGTATTTTTGGATAAAAGGGTCTGGCATGAATGTAAATGCAGATATCTCTCCTCTGTATCAGGTAGACCTAACTGGCACCCATGACACATATGAGTGATCTGCTGTGCAGAGTTGTGCACTGTGGTATTAAGTTTCCCAAATAAAAGCTAAAAAGCCAACAGGCCCTCCATCATCATCTACTGTAATATTTTTGCAGTGTTAGTCAATGAACATTTGGAAGCTCAAAGAGCTTCAGCAACATCAGCTCAGCTGATCAGAGCAACTTCCTTTGAGCTTATTGAATATTGGGTAACACTTTAGAATAATGGTCCGTTGTTAACAAGTAACTATGCAGGAAGTAATAGGTAGTACTACATTAACACTTAACTTAATACTATTAACTAATAGAGAAGCAAGATTAACTAAGCAGTAAGTAGTAGCAAATTTAGGACAAAGGTAGTGGTTTTGTGCTTAACACAATATAAATGCAGTCGATGCCTTCATTAAGGATGTGCATTGTTTTTGTCAAGAGAACATCATTATTTATATTCAAGAAAAGTCCTCCCCAGCCTACTGTCACTAAAGATACAGGTCTTTTGGAGTTGGAGACATACTGAACTGCCACAAACTAGAGCTCATAATTGTGAACTTAATTCAATCACTTCCTAATTATTAACATTTTTAAATGAATTATTTGTATTATTATTTTATGTTTTTGTTTGAAATAAACAGAGAACATCCATCCTTTGGTAAGAGTAGTATGCACAATTTCAAAATGTAGCTGACTTATTTGGGGGATATCATATTCATAAATTAGTTTCCACAAAGAACCCAATTGTTCACTTTTAATACGTTACTGTTGTGATTAGTAATTAATTGGTTATTCTTTATTAATTGGTCATAGTTCGCAAGTAGTTCTCAATGAGGATATATTTTTTAGTAATTATCAAATATCTAATAAGGAACTACCTTTGTCGTAAATTTAGCTACTACTTACTGCTTAGTTAATCTTGCTTCTCTATTAGTTAATAGTATTAAGTTAAGTGTTAATGTAGTACTACCTATTACTTCCTGCATAGTTACTTGTTAACAACGGACCATTGTTCTAAACTGTTACTGAATATTGAACAACTGCCTGGACCAAAAACCATTTTTGTTCCACCAATTTCTGCCACAATATTTAAAATAGTGCACAAGTGAATTCTGTAATTCCAGAGGCTTGTAACTTACAAGTTTAATTCTTCCTGTTCATATTTGGTACATCTAATCAAAAGATGTTCTACAGTTTCCATTTCATGACATATATTACCTAAACCTGTGTTGTGTTTGCCCATGATGTGAAGAGTTGCATTAAGTCTAGTGTGAACCATTCTTGTAAATATATTACGTTCTTTTCATATTCACATCATGACTAATTTTACTTAGTTTTATGTTACTTTGCATTCTATGGAAATGTCTGCCTTTCTGACACACCATACGTCCTCTTTTCTTCTTCTTTTACTCAATAGAGATATGCATTTTTAGTTCTTATCGCCACCTACTGAGTGGTTGTGTAATCATTTAATCTTTTCATCTTTCATAATTTTTCAGTTTTTTTGTATTACTGTGAACAAGAATTATATTGTTTGCTTGATGATTAATATATAAATTATAAGACATTGATTTAAGTATAAAATTAATTTTTCAGCCATTTTGTTTTCATATTTTTTTGTAAAATGAGATGTCACATTAAGTGACATAAGTATTTTTTTATTATAGAAATTCATTATATAGAAAATGCCCCTAGAGTGTGAGATGATATAGAAAATAACTGATTATATAATATTGGCCAAAATCTGTCACGCCAACTGGAGCTTTATTAACAGGGTATGCTATGCATGCACTGAATAGTCTGATGTAAACTAACCTTGGAAGGTGAACTAACCGTGGTTAAGAAGAGATTGTTATGGCTACTTACATAGCCTGAAAGTAATCCCAGTTTTTGGAACCAAAAGTTGAGGTTATTAATTTGTTTATCTGTAAACTTACACGGGTATGTCGCATAACCTTCTTTCTGGAATACCTCTACCAGAACTCAGTATCCTTGCTCAGTTCTGCAACAGTCTTCAACACTGTCAACCACATACTATCGATCTCCAAACTGGCAGAGATGGGCATTATCTGGATAACAACCAAGTCAGGAAGCCTTACTCTTCTCACCCTGTGCCCAAACCACTGAGGTACCCCAGGGTTCAGTGCTAGGACCTTTGTTCTTCTCAGAACAGTCAAAATACTCATCCGGTGGTATAATTTCTGTTGTAATTGTGATACGCTGATGACACTCAACTTTGCATATCATTTCATCGTCTGTTTCTCCATCAGCAATCTCATCAAGTATCTCTGCATCCGTCTGACATACCATATTAGACATCAACCCATTGCATCAAGATCAATATCAACAAAACTGAATTCTTGCTTTTCCATGGCAAGTTCTCAATCATATAATCATTTTCCATGTCAGTGAATGGTTGCAAAGTTAACGCTCCAGGTGATGTATAATGTTTTGTCACCTCTTTTGCGGACAACATTGCAACATCTGACAGTTCTTGTTACTTTGCCGTACAACCTGTTTTACTGTGGGATCCGAACACAAGATTTAGTATAATCATAAAGGTTTGATTTGTGACACAAGCACTTTCACAGCATATCTGTTTTTATATTCGCTTGCGGCTGTATGTTGAAAACAGACTGTGTGAAGGTTGTTTGTAGGCTGATCAGATGCATAGAAGAAGATTATTATAGACCACTTCAGGCTGAGAGCACTGTAATACACACACTGCTTCGCACACACACACACACAAAACATACACTCACGCATTCCCCAAAGGGAAGGTTATCATCTTCTCTATAGCTTTGACCTAGTTTGCTGTTCAATGTCATACACATGACGGCTGGGTGACATGTGTTTCCTTTTCCCAGGAATAGACCAAGGGCTTGTAAAATTTTTACTTTCCTACTTGGTAATTGTGTCAAAATGCAAAATGGTTTTGGTTGAAACAGTGACATTAGCTATGTTTCCATACAAAGTTTGGAACACAAAATATTTAAATTCGGAAACTTAGGATATCACATGAAACATCTGTTAATAAAGAACTGCCTCCATCCCATGTGTTCAAGAGAACAAAATTACCTGTTTCTGGGAAACTAGCATGTTAACGAAAGTATTAGTAATAATAAAAATAATAAAATAAATAAAAATGAAAGTTGCTGTAACCAGGAAAGCATGTGGCTCTTTTTCCTACATAATAATTGACTTGCGCTTCAGAGCTCGCAGATAAAACTCAATAAAAAAAAAATGCAGTTATCTTGCTTTCGGAGGCGGATGATATTTGGGAATGCAATTAATAACAATTACAAATAAAAATGCAGAAATAAATCTTGCAAGACAGATCTAGAAGGTAATTATAAACATTTTGATGACGGACTTTGGCTCAGGCATTTTAGGATTATTAAAATATTTCCTCAGTCACATCCACTGTTGAAGCAAAGTCATGTGACTTTTGTTGCACATCAATTAATTTATTTGGTAAATGCGCTTCCATCATAGTTTGTGCATGTTTTATTATCGGGGAAAAAATAAATATATTATTTTTATATAAATGTATATATTTATACACTATAAAAAAAAAATAATGTTAGCTCAACAAAAAAAATTAATGCAACAGTTTGCATCAATGTTTTTGAGTTCTGACAACTTCTAATGAAATCATTCCAATCAACTTAATTTGTAACAAACATTTTTCAGTTGATTACTCAAAACAATTAAGTTGCTCAAACTAATGGATTTGTGAGCCTGGAACCAATTTATATAATATATATTTTTTTTCCAATTCAAAATCCAGCTAATCGCAACACATGCTACATGTAACTTATTTAGCATGTGTATTTAAAGAACAATGTTAAACTCTTTTAAATGTCAAACATAACCGCATTAAAACTAACAGTTATTTCCCTTCACTAATAATATCAACATTACCCTTATCCAGTCCTATGCAAAGCATGCTGGGAACTAGAAATCCACTACCCAATTTCCAAAGTTAACAAGATTGAGTTACGACAACTTATTTAAATAAATTAAATTAACGCAGAAATTTAAAGTCTAAATTACGCCCAATATTAAGTTACTATAAAGATTGAACAATTGTCAACTGAACATAACAAAATAATGTTTGCAACTTGCAGAGAGTAAGTGAGAATCAGAAAGACTTGAAAATACACCTGCACTTTAACTCGGTCTCTCGCTTGTGACTTATTACTGAATTTATTCACATTACTGGTTACGTGCTAGCCCTTTTTGTCTAGAGGTAATGGACCTAGCAGTAACACATTTTGGAGAGCGAAAGCACAGGGACCTCTTGTCTCCAGCCCAAATAACACACCGCCAAACAAAATAACTAATTTAAGTGTTTATTAAATCATAAGAAAAAGATAAAAGGGAAACATAAGCTTCAGGAGGGGGCAAAGGCCAACACACAAAAACATTTCTAACTCAGTTTTAACCATAACTTGCCTATAGATAAACCAAAAGAAATGAACTTCCCATCTCCTTGACAACCCAGATAACCAGGAGAAAAGCAATTAAAGAAAAAAGGCACCCAACTCCCCACAAGTTTCCTTACAAAACACTTAAATTCTAAAACTTACAAGTCTCCAACTAAATCCACAGTAGCGCCAATGGTTAGTTCTTAACAGACAAAGTTATCTGGAGCCAGCGAAAAGTCCGTGTGACCGGTTACAATCTGCAACCCTCTCAGCTTGTTGTGAGGCAGTGCTGGCTTTATATGCTGGCTTTCTCCTGGCTGCAGCCAATCAGTGGAGCTGAGGTGAATGGGCAGCAAACCAGCAACAGGTGAACCCAATCACCTGCATGAGAATGGTAGCAGTAACCAAGGGGGAGAACAAAAAAATAAAAATAAAAAAATAAATAAAAAAAAAAATCTACCACAAAGCACATAGAACAAATCACAAAGTCTCCACATCTGCAATCCTAGAGAGCGCATCCGCCACCACATTGTCTTTACCACGGATGTGCTGGAGATTAAGGTTATACTCCTGGACAATTAGAGCCCAGCGCATCAAATGTTGATTGGAGTTGGACATGCGGGAGTGAAAGATCAATGGGTTATGGTCAGTGTACACAGCGATAGGCATGGCACTGCTTCCCCAAGTAAACCTTGAACTGTTGAAGAGCTAACAGCACGGCGAGGGCCTTCTTAATCATACTGTAGTGTTGTTGGCATTTCGAGAACTTCTTAGAAGCAGATGGGGTGGTCAATTCCACTGGAGTCCTCCTGCAGCAGGACTGCTCCAGCACCGGTAGCACTGGCATCTACTTGGAGTTTAAAAGGCAAATCAAAATTAGGGGCAGACAACACTGGGGCACGGCGAATGAGATTTTTTTCAGCCTTAATGGCATTATCACACTCAGTGCTCCACTTAAAACTCTTGGTAGTACTGAGAAGGACAGTAAGAGGAGACACAATAGTGAAGTTATCCCCAGTAGTACCCACTCATACCTAAAAACCGGAATAAATCACGCTTATGGAGTGTAGGAAACGCAAGTATGGCAGCAACCTTAACCTCAACTGGCTTAACAAAACCCTGGCCAACTTGTTTCCCCAGATAGGTTACCACAGCTTTACCGATCTCACATTTAACAAGATTCAAGGTTAAAGAAGCAGCAGCCAGGCCGCTGGAAGGTGGCAGGTGCATTTCTCATGCCAAAAGCTAGAACCTCATATTGTAGGAAATATTTAGAAATGACAAACGCGGAGATCTCAGATGCATGTGGAGTTAGGGGCACTTGCCAATAACCCTTTAACAGGTCTAATTTGGTGACATATCTAGCAGAACCTACTCGGTCAACACAATCTTCTAACCGAGGCAGAGGAAAGGAGTCAGGTTTCGTTAAGGAGTTACCCTTACGGTAGTCAGTACAGAAGCGATAGGAGCCGTCGGGTTTAGGCACTAATAAACAAGGCGAACTCCATGGACTCCGACTAGGCACTGCTAGACCATGCTGCAGCATATACTCAACCTCAGATCTCATTATGTCACGCTTCCTGGGGTTTACTCGAAGAATGTTGCTTGACTGGATGAGATTCACCTACAATGTCATGTCAACATGGTCGTTCTACCAGGCACATACGAAAAGAGTGAAGGAAATTAATGAACCAATTTAATAATTTGCTCACTCGGTTCTGTCATCAGGTGTGCAAGAAAGCTCTGCCATATTGAGTGATTTGCAGAGTTGAAGCTTTTTAGCTGCAACTTGTGTAGCTTTTTCAACTGGCTCATCTTCGGGCATTTCACTAACAGTAGCCACTGCAACAGGTGAAACGGAGGAGGAAATAGGCTTCTCACCAACCATAATAAACTGTTTTAACATTTATGTGACATACACGGGTCTTACGACGTCGATCAGGAGTATGTATGACAATTTGTGTCACTGAGCTTTTCTTTGACTTCATATGGACCCAAAAATTCTCGGTACTGGAGTAAGTCTCGGTAGACCAGGGCAATAACTCCTCTAACATAATCGGTTTCTAAAAATGTCGGTTTGGCTGTTTTCATATGCAAACTAAATTTGACGGTATGCCTCAGGCACCAACTCGAACGCTCTCAGAACAGCAGATTTTACTACATCATAGTCAAGGGACTGACCTATTGGTAAGGTGGAGCAAACCTCTTGCGCTTTACCAGAAAGACTGTACTGCAACAACAGCTCACACATCTTTTGGCCACGGTAATTTCGTAGCAACCCGTTCAAAGGCAATGAAATACGAATCTACTTCCGCTTCTCTAAATGGGGGTATGAGTTTAAGGTACTTACCAACAGCAAAATCTGGCTCAGTAGCTGCATTATCAGTACCTTGGTATAAAACAGCAGCAGGTGAAGTGACGGAAGATAAAGCAGAGGGGAGTCTAGAACGAGGCATAGGAACTGGCTTCCGATTTAATTCTGGAGCACGCAAGTCTAACTCACGCATCTTAATATCCCGATCTGCTTGAGCCTCTATAGCACGAAGCCTAATCTTCTGCCCTTCACACTCCTGTTTTTTTTTATTAGGAGGTCCAACTCCTTCAACTTGACAGCTAACAGACTCACCCAGAGACTCAGTTGCCAGCCCAGGAAGAACCTCACCTGCCACGGCTTCTGCGGTGAATCCAGGTTGTTCCTCAGCACTGACGGCAGAATAATCAGGTAAAATCCCTTAAATCAACTAGCTTTTCCCGCAAGTCATCTTTAACAACTTGTTTGGTAGCCTGCCTTGAAACCTCAATATTAAAGAACACTGCAATTAAAAACAAATCTGCCTTCCTGCAACGTTCAAAAACCTCTATGGTAGGAGAAAGAGTACATTAAAATTAAATCAAATTCCATAATTCTCACTAAGACAGGCCGTCTCCTTCACCAAAAAGAAAACAGCCAAACAGAACAAAAAATAAATGAGCAGATACTTACAATTACACCACGGTAAACTTTCACTTGAAAGGACGAGCTCCCACTTGTTACTTGCTAGCCCTTTTTGTCTAGAGGTAATGGACCTAGCAGTAACAAATTTTGGAGAGAGAAAGCACAGGGACCTCTTGTGTCCAGCCCCAATAACACACCTCCAAACAAAAGAACTTATTTAAGTTATTATTAAATCATAAGAAAAAGATAAAAGGGAAACATAGGCTTCAGGAGGGGGCAAAGGCCAACACAACAAACAAAGATTTCTAACTCAGTTTTAACCATAACTTCCCTATACATAAACCAAAAGAATATGAACAAAATGAACTTCCCATCTCCTTGACTACCCAGATAACCAGGAGAAAAGCAATTAAAGAAAAAGGCACCCACCTCCCTACAAGTTTCCTTACAAAACACTACAATTCTAAACAAACTTACAAGTCTCCAACTAAATCCACAGTAGCACCTATGGTTAGCACTTAATAACAACAGACATAATAAAGTTATCTGGAGCCAGCGAAAAGAAGTCTGTATGACAGATTACAATCTACAACCCTCTCCCACTCAGCTTACTATGAGGCAGTGCTGGCTTTATATGCTGGCTTTCTCCTGGCTGCAGCCAATCAGTGGAGCTGAGGTGAATGGGCAGCAAATCAGCAACAGGTGAACCCAATCACCTGCATGAGAATGGAAGCAGTAGACAGAAAAAAACAAACAAAAGAAAACACCACAAAGCACATAGAACAAATCACAAATAAAATACGTCTCAGGACGTAACACTTGATTTAGTTAACTCTGATTAGAATGTAATATGACTTTTAAGTAAGACAGTTCACATTTAGTTATTTCAGGTTTGGAACAACTTGAGAGTAAATAATGACAAAATTATCATTTTGGTAGTCTTATCCCTTTAAGAGTCAGCCATTGAAAAGTTGAATTTGTTGGCCTCTGATCTGAATATGTTTAGGTGTTTGAGCTTCTTACACCGCTGATATTATGGGAGTGTAATTTGACCTCTTGAAAGTAAAGCATGAACCTTTTCAAATGAGATGAAATGATTGTCCCGAACTCCAGGCAATGCTTCTGTGTTCTTTCTACAAACAAGCATTGTGCTCACAGTTGATTTATGGACAAACAGGAATATTTGAGGGAATCTTCCAAAACAGAACAGATGTGTACGTGATGCATGTCAGAATCATAAAATGATGTAATGTCTGTTTTACATTTCATATTTCATTATGAAATGATACATTTCAGGGCTTTTCTCAGAACCTATGCAAAATAGAATCCAGTTAATTGTGATTAATTAATTAATCATGTAATTTGACTAAAGGTTTACTCGATTTTTAGGTTGATCAATCATACATAAATAAATATAAATTTACTGAATACACTGAATAATATATTGTCAATAATTAGCTGTTTTACTTACATGGATTCTCCAAGATTACTATTAAAATGCACATTATTACTAAACACGTGTTATACCAAAATATTCATAATGAAAATGATTGGTTTAACAATGAAGTGAACTAACTCTACAGAGCTTTGGAGACTGTGGAGACTGACAGTCATATATTCATCCACCACAGGAGGGCAGAAAAAAAATCATCCACATGTGTCTGAGGAGTTCAGCAGCAGCTTTTCACTTCTAATTTAACGGCTTGCGCTTTGTGATTAATATTCCCTCTCTCGCCTAAACACTGTAAATGCTGCTTTATTCCCAGAGTAAGAAAGACAGGGATTTGCTGCAGACTCATATTTTCCTCGTTTCCTTCTACCGACTCCTGCATGTGAAATCAAGTTAAGAAATAATGCATTATGAATATCACAGACGCCACAAGGGGTTGATGAAAATGTGCTGACCATCTGAAGTCAGTTAAATCCATTATGCCGTATGTGAGTGTTTCTTTTGGCCCTGTAGACTTTAAGAAAATAAACTCTTAAAACACTCTTTCACCCTCTCACTAGTTTACTTCATTTGTCTATTAAAAACATCCAGCAGCACGTATGATCATTTTCTTTTTTTCTTAAAGTCATCAAGTCATTTTCACAGTCTCTGTTAGGCCTACGTCTTAAGCGATTAATAACATTCTGTGATGGAAATGTATTTTACAGATCCAAGTTAATATTTTCACATTTTTTGAATCATTTGTCAAAATAGCAGCTTGATTGGAAATTATACTTTATGTTGTTTCTCTAGTATTTATTTATTTAGTTATTTGTTCGCTTTTTTTTTTTTTTCTTTGCATATCACATCTATGTCATATCAAGCTCTTCACTGACATTGTTGGTAACCAAATGCACTTTATTACAGACACAGGTTTATATATATATATATATATATATATATATATCATTATTATTATTATTATTAATATTATTTTTTTCTACCAATATATATTTTTTGGACACTCTGCATATTTTTGAAAATATATTTAAAAAATCTAAATCTTCCATATATTTCAATCGAGAAAAAAACAATGCATTCAATTATGTCACATTGGAAGAAAAAAAATAATTTGTTGTCTATAACGTGTAAACATATAACATATTTGAATAAAATAATGAATAAAGACTGTGTGTGTTTAGGTTTATAAGGTTTATGAGGACACAAATATGTATAATGACATGAGACTCAGAGACTTCATGAGTTTCTTCAGCTGTGGACTCGGGCTGATTTTATTAAAACAAAACAGCCATTTCATCATCCTTCATAAAGATATGAACTATTGCATGATTACAAATTTGATTATGTGTGACAATAATTTACATACGTGCTCCAAAAATCATCAGTTGTGGCATCAAAAAATAAAAAATAAATAAAAAGTAATTTATTTTTATGGTGTTTACAAGGACTCTCCACAGGCGTGATGGTTTTTATACTGTACAAACTGTATTCCCTTCCCCTAAACCTACCCCTCACAGAAAACTTTCTGCATTTTTCAGATAATTTAAAAAAAAAAATGTATGTTTTATGCCATTTGGTTTACGGGGACAAAGGAAGTGTAAACCTCATAAGTCATGTTCACATTGTAATACCTATGTCATTATACATATTTGTGTCCTCATAAACCTTTACCTTATAAGCCTAAACACACACAGTCTTTATCCATTATTTTATTATTTATGAGACCAGACAACCTTCTTCCATTGATCCAGGGTCCAGTCCTGATGCTCACATGCCTATTGAAGACACTTTTGGCGATGGACAGGGGTCACCTTTGGCACTCTGACCGGTCTGTGGCTGCAGTGCACTGTGTTCTGACACATTTCTAGCATGGTTAGCATTAAGATTTTGGCCGGTTCACCAGTTGTCCTTCCTTGCACCACTTTAGGAACTAACCACAGCATACTGGGAACACCGCAGAAGACCAATCCAATACTTGTATTTAAAATTGCAATTCGGCATTTTCTCTCAAATCAATCAATGAAAAATCAATCAATGTGTGTTTGAATAATCTGTAATCATGTAATCATGTAGGCTAATCCATAAAAAAGTAACTCTAATCTGATCATGAGCAGTGTTGTGCAGTAACTAGTAGCTTAGTTACTGTAATAATATTACTTTTTGCAGTAACTAGTAGTGTAACTAATTACTAATAAGATTTCAGTAATCATATTAGTTACCATCCATAAAACAGCTTAGTTACTTAGTTACTTTTGATGCCTCAACCCCACTGATTTAAAATCCAACAAACAAATAATTCCTAGATTTATTTTCATAATTTTCACGACTCGCGCATGCATGCGATGTCCCCAGTGCAGCAGACAAGCTTGGAATATGGAAAAGCTTACATTCAACAGATAGAAATATTGCATTATATTGATTTTGTCAGGAAAAAAGATGATCTGAACACTGTTGTGTAAATTGTGGCTTTACTTTACTCTGGCATTACATCCCACCCACATCCTTCTGATCAGCATGTGGTACATTATATTACTATAATTAAAAATATTTTTGGAAAATTAAAGTTTCTTACAAACTTAATGAAATATAATCGTATATGGGTATTGGAGAAATGACAATTAGCTTCAAGCTATACATGAGAATTAATGAGATTACTTCTGCTTGAATGTCACTATCAATCACTAGAATTTTGTGTGGAAGATACATAGTTACAACTTCTGTGGGGCGTGAAGAAAAAGCAATGTATCTAGTAGTTTAACTAATTACTGTTGCCAGAAAGTAATAAGTAAAGTAACAATATTACCTTTGAAATGAGTAACTAGTAATGAGTAATATATTACATTCTTTGAGTAACTAGCCCAACACTGCTGCTAGGTAATAACTAGGTACTAACTCTGAACCTACCCCTAAACCTAACCCTACCCCATGTAGTTACCTTATATTACCAGTACTTTCTTAGGTAAGTACACTTTAAGTACACTGTAAGTACATGTAAGTGCATGTACTGTAAAATAAACTGCTACCACTAACTCTATTAGAAGACTGTTAGGTTGTGGTTAGTAGAATAAGTTGACGTACTTGCACAGTTACTTATAGTCAGTAGAATGTGGGTTAGTAAATAAAGTGTTAGCAGATATTAAACAGACAGTTTACTAATAAGATTTCAGTAATAATATTACAGTTACCATCCATAAAACAGCTTAGTTACTTAGTTACTTTTGATGCCTCAACCCCACTGATTTAAAATCCAACAAACAAATAATTCCTAGATTTATTTTCATAATTTTCACGACTCGCGCATGCATGCGATGTCCCCAGTGCAGCAGACAAGCTTGGAATATGGAAAAGCTTACATTCAACAGATAGAAATATTGCATTATATTGATTTTGTCAGGAAAAAAGATGATCTGAACACTGTTGTGTAAATTGTGGCTTTACTTTACTCTGGCATTACATCCCACCCACATCCTTCTGATCAGCATGTGGTACATTATATTACTATAATTAAAAATATTTTTGGAAAATTAAAGTTTCTTACAAACTTATGTGATTTGATAAAATACATAATGAAATATAATCGTATATGGGTAATGGAGAAATTACAATTAGCTTCAAGCTACACATGACAATTAATGAGATTAATACAACACTTCTATAATGTTACTATCAATCACTACAATTTTATGTGGAAGATACACAGTTACAACTTGTGTGGGACGTGAAGAAAAAGTAATGTAACTAGTAGTGTAACTAATTACTGTTGCCAGAAAGTAATAAGTAAAGTAACAATATTACTTTTGAAATGAGTAATATATTACATTCTTTGAGTAACTAGCAACTGGACCACTGTAAATTTTTCATGTTCAAAAATAAAATTGTTCTCTGAATGACTAATTTGCTGTTTAACACTCCTCATATAAGTGTACACTCTAAAAAATGCTGGGTTAAATTCAACCCAGTGCTGAGTAAGATAGGGACAAACACAGCAATTGGGCTGTTTTGACCCAGCGGTTGGGTTAAATGTTTAACCCAACCTTATGGGTAGTAACCCAACCGTTGGGTCAAAACAACCCAATTGCTGGGTTTGTCCCTATTTTACCAAGCACTAAGTTGTATTTAACCCAGCATTTTTTAGAG